CAGGCACCGGCAGGTTTGACGTCTCTCTTGTGAGAGATGCTGTGTCCAAAATGGCACCTTGGTGCTGTGTCCTCCATAGGGGACGAACTCTGTGGCCTCACGTGGTGAAGAACAAAAGGCCCACGCAGCCCTCTAAGGCCCCGTAGACAGGCACTAATCCTATGCCCAAGGCAGAGGGCTCAGGAAAATCACTTCCCCAAAGGCCCCATCTCTTAAATATCATCATAGTGGGGATTCAGTTCCAACACGGATTTCATAGGGACACATTCAACCCACAGTACTCGGACAAAGAAATTACCCTTGTAATGCCTTCCCCCTGAGAAAGTAAACTAGCACTTTGTGATGTTTTTTCCTCCATCACCAGCATCTATCTACCTATGAGCAAGTAAATACAAATAGAAGAACTAGGTTTTTGCCTAAGGACTTGGTCAATAGAGGCTGGTATGTTCAGGAGTAATAATAACTAACCCTTCCATGCCCAGTACCTGCCAAGTATTTTATATACGTTAACTCAGTAAAGCCACATGGTGATCATCAAAAGCACCGTGAAGTAAGCATCTTTATTATTCCCATTTTACAGATGGTAAAACTGAGGCACAGGGATGTTAGCAGAACCAGGAAGCAGCAGAGCAGGGATTCCGATCCAGGCAGTCTGTCTTCAGAATCCCTGCTCTTGTCCATTCCACCACCTGCCTCTCTGTAGAAAGAGTCCTACAAGTAGGAGAGGTAATAAACGTCCTCAGCATAAGCAGAATCCAAAGCTTCTACCAGGGTTATCTCAGGGAACTTGGACGTCCAAATCTCACCCAAGCGCAAATGCAAGGGTGCAAGGCCCCAGCCTTGGCAACAGAAACTGGCAACACTATACCCTCACAACTGGGGATGGCCCGCCTGGGGGCATTTCCCTTTGTCCCTTCTGCCAACCCCACCCAGCCCCCAGCCCAGCTGCCAAGACTCTGCCTCCCACCCCCTGCACCTGGCTGCCCCTGGCAGGCAGCCCTAGACCTCTCATGGAGGAGAAGCCTCCCCCAGCTCTGAGCAGCTGCTAGGCCTTGCCAGAGCCAGCAGGCATCTTCTGGGCACCATGCGCCGCCCCTCCAGGCCTGGAGTGCCAGCAGTTCCGAGTTAGGTTGATGGCCCTGCACAGCCCCACGGAGCTGCTATTTTTAATTTAATTGGAGAGTCAGAGGAGTGAGATGGTACCCAGCGAGGGAGTTTTAAAAGCTTTCGGAGTGGGGGTGGGGGAGAGAAAGCGAAGAAAAGTTCGTAATTATACACCAGGCAGCCAGATTTGATGCTTGAACAGAAAGGTTAAATGTTACATTTGGAATGAAATGAGAAAAAGCGCTCTGATGACAGTTGCCCGGAGCTAAATAAGGAATGAAAATACCCCTTGCCCATCTCTTCTCCAGGCCTTCCTCTCCCTCTACTCATTTCTGAGTATCACCCCCTCTGCCCTTTAAGGCTCAGGTGTACACAAATACACTGGTTTCGAGTCCCAAAATTACGGCTCAGGATGTCCACACCTTGATTGCCACCCCAAAGGGGCTTTCACTAAAGCCTGGGAAGAAAATCACACATCTGCATCTCTCAGGACAGGGGGGCGAGTGAGGCCTAGAAAGCTGAGAAGGCAGCATGGCTCTATTGGTTATAACATGGACTTTAGAATGGATAGACCTAGGTTCAAATTCCTGTTCTGCCAAGGAATGGATACCGTGGATCTGCTCACCCATGCCTACATGCCAGCTCTTTCTTTTAGTAATGAGACATAAACAGAAGTCTGTGGGGTGATGCTTTCTTAATTCAAAGAGAGACGCTTAAATGGAACACTCCCTTCACCCTCCCTTTTCACACAGGGATTATAGGTGTAATGCTTGGAGCTGCTGCAGCCATTTTGTGACCATGATCCAACAAGCCTACTTGCTAACGGTGGAAAATGGAAAGACAGAAAAGTCCTTAATCATATAGCTATGCCACTGTTCCCCGGAACTACCTGCTTGTTACCCGAGACAAATAAATCTTTCAGCCACTTTTAGTCTAGTTTTGGGGTTTTTTTTTATGTCTTATAGCTTAACTATGTACATTAATGCACCATGGAATACTATGCAGCCCTAAAGAAAGATGGAGACTTTACCTCCTTCATGTTTATATGGATGGAATTAGAAAATGTTCTTCTCAGTAAAGTATCTCAAGAATGGAAGAAAAAGTATCCAGTGTACACAGCCCTATTTTGAAACTAATTCTTAGCTTTTATAGGAATGTCATAACCTAATTATAGCCTTGTTTTTTTGTCTTTTTTTTAAGAATGCTGAATCCAAACCTCTTGGAGAGGAACACATTTATAAGAGGGACTTTGCTTAACAAATGCAATTAGTGTAACCTGGATCTTTGTACCCTCGATGAATCCCCAACAATTAAAAAAAAAATGTCCTTTGAAATAAAAGTGGGAAAAAATTTTTTTAAAAAAGGAATGCTGAATCCATTCCTATCTCTGGCAATTCACGATTAGCTTGGGCTTGAGTATAAACTTGAGTAAGTGCTTACCATCTCTAATGTTCAGTCTTATTTATAAACGGGGATAAATACCACTCCCTTCACAGCACCCATGTGAGGATTAAATGTAACTCCATTTGTAGAGCTCTCACCAGCATGCCTGGCAAGGTGACAGTAGCCGCTATTATTAATGTTCATGATTAATAGGAGTGATATCAAATTATAAAATTAAAGTCACACCTCGTATGTCAACAGCACTTCAGTTTAAAGGGTGATCTTGTCTTTTGCCTTAGCTTATCCTCAACACCAAATCTCTGAGAGGAGAAGGTATTTCTCCCTATTTCACACCTTTTTAAACTCAGAGAGGTTAAACAACTTGACTAAAGTAGCAAAGCTAATGGCAGGGCCAGCCTATCACTGGATTTGATTTCAAGTCCTCAGGTTTGCACCAGGCTGGTTCTGAGCTATTCTATTCAAGAGGCCCCTGTTCTAGGCACCCACTCCTTTCCCTGGGGACTGCTGATGGGCCAAGTTTGGGGGTGAAGCTGTGGCTAAGAGAACATGATTCATATGTTCAAAGACCAGGTGAGCTGGTCTCTGCCCTCCTAATTCCTCCACCTTCCCTCAAGCCACTGGTTTCCTTGGGCTTAATTCTTTCACACACACTGTGTGTGTGTGTGTGTGTGTGTGTGTGTGTGTGTGTCTATTCCAGCTCTTGGGAACCAAGAACCCCTTTCAGAAACAACTGATGTCACAGGGGGGATGTAAGCCCAGATGGGGTTCAAACCCTAATTCTTCCACTTAAAAAAAAAATTTACTAAGTAAATAACAAATGATGGTCTAATTCTCTGTATTAGTCAGAACAACCAAAACAGCTGCTCCATAATCTCAGGGGCCAAACACAACAGATTTCTTCCTCAAGTCCCAGCTAGTGCAGGCTGGTGGGCTGGAAGGGGCTTCTGTTCAGCCCATTCATTCAGGCTCTTTCCATCGGCAGCTCTGTCAGCCCCCAAGACTTCTGAGCCCTCCTTTGAACCTTCTCCACTGCACAGGCTACACTGGATATTTTAAGGGTGAAGCACACACTGCATCGGCTGAAACTCAGCCACGTGGCCCCACCTAACTGTTGGGGAGGCAGAAGCATAGCTTCACCACGCAGCATGGAAAGAGAGGACATGGTTACCGAAGCCCCCAGTGGTTCTCCATCTCAGGTCCCCCTGTCGAGAGAAGCTGTCCTTCCATCCGAGATCACATTACCTTGTCACACTCGATTCATTTCATCTGAAATGTGTTACTTATTTACTGTCTACAATAAACCCCCTAATAGCTTATAATCTTAAAAACAGGAACTTGACCTCAAAGTCCCCAGTACCCAGCACAGTGCCTGAAACACAGTAAGTAATGGAATATTTACTGGATACATAGGAACTGAATAAGAACTCTAACTTTTATACAGAGTCCAGGCAGCTGGGATGAATGGGAGATTGTGTCAGTGGAGAACGAGGACTCCAGGCCTTCTTTGTTCTGCTCAGTGGCCGCCACTGTTCATAGGCCCTGGGGCTCTTCAGCACCTGCCCAGCCCCTACCTTGACTCTCTCACACTCTCCCTGAGTCTCTGTCAGGGGCCACCCATCCTACATCATCCATCACAGGAGCCAGCACTGGTTCCAAACAAGTTGTTTATTTGCATGTATAAAACAACGCCCTGGCCAGGGAAAGAACATTCCAGGCTCATCGCAGCAATGCCCCCCACCCCTGGCCAGAAAAGGCCTGTAGGACTATAAAACCTCTAACTGTCCCCATCCCTACCCTTCCTGTCCCCTAGTCAAAAATAACTACGGCTCCTAGCAGGAGGGTTACCCCAGTTAAAACCTAATTGATGATCAAGAAGAAAGGGGCAATCCAAGGGAGATGCCAAGGAAAACATAAGTGGCATCAGGCATGGAGGTGGCAGGTGGCCATTTGCACCCCAAAGACAGAGAACTCTGGAAAAAATGTCCCCTGTATCCAAGGGATGACATCCCATCCTCCCTCAACTTGGATCCCACTCCTGAAACAAGATAAAACCTAAGAATCTAAAAAAAAAAATCCCTCATAGCTCGGCGCCCATAGCACAGTGGTTATGGTGCCGGCCACATGCACCCAGGCTGGCGGGTTCAAACCCAGCCTGGGCCAGCTAAACAACAATGACAAGTACGACACAAAAACAGCCAGGCATTGTGATGGACACCTGTCGTCCCAACTACTTGGGAGGCTGAGGCAAGAGAATTGCTTAAGCCCAAGAGTTAGAGGTTGCTATGAGCTGTGACGCCACAGCACTCTACCAAGGGCAACATAGACTCTGTCTCAAAAAAACAAACAAACAAAAATCCCTCATAACCTCAGAATTCCAGAGCCACCTAACCCCACCCCACCCCATTCAATTCCTCCTGCCCAGAGCATTTTGCTGAAATTAATCTACCTGATCCCGTCTGGCCTAAGCCCATTCCCAAGAAGGAAACAGCAGGTCACAGCCTCATACTCTCGTCATACTCCTCCTTGGTCACCCACTCAGACCTGTGTGTGGACAGGTGAGCCACAACGGACGCTCCCAGCCAGACACTAAAGTTTCTGTTGGAACCCACCCAAAAGGTGGCATTGGTGGAGGAGAAGTGATCCTCGGTCAGCTCCTTGAACATGCGCTTCGTGAAGCCCGGGTAGAGGGTGTTGCCCCCGCAGGCCACCAAGTGGGAGATGAGCAGCGGGCGCACCCAGGTCTCGCAGGACTGGATGGAGTCCACCACAGCCTGCGGAATGCTGGGCCCTTGATGGTTGAACATCTGGGGGCTGAAAAACATCTCAGGAGCCAGGCGCTGCAGGGGGGCCAGCTCCACAGGGGTGCCATCCGGGAGCAGGTAGGTGTTGGTCTCATCAGAGCCACTCGGCACGCTCTGATGGAACTCCAGGGCCTCCTCCAGGTTCTGTGGCACGTAGCACTTGTTTATCTGCGTCGTGGTGACTGTTTCCAGCTGAAACAGATCATGCTTGTTGCAATCTGCCTTGAAGATGCTCTTGAAGAGGTAGTCGGAGAGGTCTTGGCCAGCAAACTCCAGCGTCTTGCTGCAGGAGGGTAAGGGGCGGCCCAGGTGGAAGGGCTGCACACGGGTCAGGCCGTAGCCAGAGTCGATCACCACGCCGGTCAGCAGGCCAGAGGCATACAGGGACATCTGCAGCTGGTCAACCAGGAGGACGGAGGGGACCTCCAGCAACTCAAACATAATCTGCAACAAGGGTGAAGGCACTTAGTTATCTTCCCCAAACCACTCAGCTCTCAAAATTGAGGTCAGCATAGATGCATGACCTCCAGGGACTCTCAGGCTGTCCCCAGGACAGTGGTGGGTATAAGGAAGGAGCTCTGGAGATTAGAAAAAAGTCTGGATGTGCCATCAGAAGCTTGTCCAGTTGTGGCCGCTAAGAGACCACTTTGGTGGGGTAGTAGGAAGAGCCCTCACCCTGGGGCACAGGGTTCTGCGGGCAGCTGCACTGCCAAGGGTCATATTTAGAGCTTGCACCACCTCTTCAGAAGAAAGAACAAATTAGAAAAGAAATGAAAGCTGAAGATTCAATACTACATCCAAAAAGTACTGGTAGAAAGAGAGAAAAAAGGAAAACATACTCAATACCTGGTAGGCAAAGTCTTATTATTTTTTTTTAATAAAAACTTTCCAAACATCAAACAAAACTGGAACTCTGGGATTTAGCATTTGGCAGAGTCCCCGGGCTGATTTTCTCCCCCGGCTCATCACCCCCTGGGTCCTTACAGAAACACCCCTCACCAATACCCCAGCTCTGCAGCACCCCCTATGGTTCTGACCCCACAGACGCTGCAGAAAGTCTGCAGTACCCTGCCCTGTGACATTGGCCATTCTTCAGCCCCGTGGGCCCATCTTCCCCCCCTCAGTGAGAGGAAGCTCCCTCCATTCCTACTCTTAAAATGTTGTCCCCCCCATCAGCCATTTCCCAAACAGCAGGCAAGGCCCTCTTTTCCAAATAGAAAATCAGACACGACTCCCCCGTTGAAACTCCCCAGGAGCTTCCTAGTCACGCAGAGCAGAGGTTGGCAAGCACTTTCTGTAGACAGTAAAAACTGCCAAATTCAGCAAATAAGAACACAGGATGCTGAGTTAAATCTGAATTTCAGATAAATGACAAATCATGTATTAGCACAAGTACCCCCCATGCAGTACTGGGGACATACTTACACTAAGACACGATTTGTTGTTCATCTAAAATTCAAATCTAACTAGGCACCATGTAGTTAATGAGCAAACCTACGATAATAAATATTTTACACTTTACACGACATACAGTCTCTGTTACAACTACTCTACTCTGTGAAAGCAGCCGCAGGCGATATGTAAATGAATGGGTGTGGTTATGTTCCAATAAAACTTTATTTACAAAAAAAAGGTGCTGGGCCAGAGTTGGCCAATCCTTGATTTAGAGTAGAACCCAAATGCTCCCCATAGCCCACCATAGCTCTTGAAGATCTGGCTCCTGCCAACCTCACTGTCCTACTTGTCTCTTGCCATGTCTCCTGCTGGGCTCCAGCCTAACAGGCTGAAATCACCTCCCCAGAGAAGCCCTCTCTGGTCACCCTCTCCCAACAGGCTCCCCTGCTCCCCAGCAGTTGGCCATCACCCCATGTCATTTCGTTTCTAGAACTGGTCACTATCTGTAATTATTTATTAACCTCCTCATGGTCAAGTGTAAGGACCAGAACTCAGTGTGTGAACATCCATGGAACCCATGAGCACACATCCAGCAACTCCCTGTCCACCACCGGGGCTGTGGCTCACTATCTATAGGGGAGCCTCCACGAGGCTCTCAAAATTGAAGGTACCCAAGGAAACACTTGTGTGGCAAAGCAGTACTCCTGGTGCCCAGTCTTGCCTGGACACAGTGTCAGGCCATCCCTCCTTCCCAGTAGGCGCAGCCCCCAGAAGGACTCACCTCCAGCGTCTTCTGCCGGTCTGTTGGCTCAGTTATGGGGAACTCTGTGACCATCACGGGAGAGTCCTCATGCTCCCGTCTGTGCTTCTCCAGTACAAACGACCAGATGTGCTCCACACCTTCCCAGTTAAGGACGCGGCCACGCTCTATGGGGTAGCTAAAGGTGTCAGGACGGCCAAAGTCGATGCCCAGGCTCACGCGCCTCCGGGCGTAGCTGGGGCCCGGGTTCTCCCTGCATGGTATGTAGTTGACAATGCTTGGGACGATCATCTGGGGTTCATTCCACCCCGACAGGCCAGCCTTCAGAAAGCCAGATCCGTGGTCAATGATAATGGTTCTTGAGGACATGGTGGAGGCAGAGGTGGGAGATGTCTTCTAGCTGTGGAGGGAAAGGATGGGGGTTATTTTTGAACCCAGTCTTGGCCACCATGAGCTGCCTCTTACCCTCCACCCTGGAGTCAGATCTCAGCCTCCTCCTGAAGCATGTCTGTCACCCCTCCCAAGCCTTTGCCCATCTCATTTTCCCTATCCCAAGTTCCCAATCACCCTACACGGTTCACCTAACGGGCCTGCCCACCAAGCTTGCCCATTGCACTCTGCACCTAAGTCCGTCACACCAGCTGGACATTTCTGCTCCATAAGAGCAGAGCCTGGATCAAGTTACTCTTTGTAGCCTCAGAAAGAAGCTTGTCCTAAAAGTCCTTGGTAGACACTGGCTGCTTGATTAGAGGTCACAGGGAACATGAAACATCAGCTTCAGAGTCACCACCTTCAACAATACCAATGTTATAGCAACAGCAGCAGTTGTTATAACGGTGATGATGACGACGATAGCTATAGGTGCCGCTTCTGCAGGACCAGCCTCTGTCTAGCACTACAAGGACCACTGCATGGTAAGCTGAACTATGTAAAATTGCCCTGTGTGTCATGAAAAATGGTCGGGTATCAGCAACTTCATATGGTTTAACCTGATACACAGACTCATTTCATCTCCGCCACAATCTATAAGGCAGGTACCATCATTACATTCATTTTGCAGACAGGGGAAACTGAGGAACAGAGAGGTTAAAGTTACTTTCCCAGGAATATGAATAAATATATATATATATGTATACACACACACATATATATATATTTATATCCATGTATTGCTTGAGCTCAGAAGTTTGAGACCAGCCTGAGCAAAGAGTGAGACCTGTCTCTATCAAAAGCTAGTTGGGCATGGTGGTGCACACCTATAGTTCCAGCTACTCAGGAGGCTGAGGCAGGAGGATGGTGTGAGTTTGAGGTTGCAGAGAACCATGATGATGCCACTGCATGCTAGCCCAGGGAACAGAGCAAGACTCTGTATCCAAAAAAAGAAAAAAAAAAATTCAACATACAGCTAGCATACAATCTAGCATTTCCACTCTTAAGGTACTTACCCAAGGGAAATAAAAAGTTATGTTCACACAAAAACCTTTATGCACATGTTTATAGTAGCTTTACTCATGATGGCTCAAAACTGAAAACAACTCAAATCTCCTTCGTCTAGGGAAAGGATAAACAAATTTCCATTCAATGGAATATGACCCAGCGATAAAAAGGAAGCAGCAACTGATACACACAAGGACACGAATCCGTCACAGACTCAAGAGACTCCATGCTACATAATTCCATTCCTAGAACATTCTAGAAAAGGCAAAAGCATAAGGACCAAAGTCAAGTCAGTGGCTGCCAACAGCCACCAGTGGGGAGAGGACTTCACTACAGGGGTCACAGCAGAATCAGGGGCAGTGATGGATCCGTGCCGTATCTTGACTGGGGGGACAGACGCATGACTGTACGTGTTTTGTCAAATTCTCCCCACTGTACCCTTCTTAGAGTAAACTTTACAGTAAGTAAAAAAAATTAAGGAAAAATCTATTGGGTGTGGGGACATCCAGAGAAAGTTTTATGAAATCACCTTGCAGACAGAACACAGACTGTCCCTGAGACAGCAGACGGGGTGCCCAGACTGCACATGATGCTTCCCGTAACTAAGCCCTCCAGGGAGGCTGTTCAGGGGTTGTGCTCTGGGGCTGTCACTCGCCAGCTATCTGCTCAGCTTTGGCTTCTGGGCAGCAGTAGCCTCTGTACAACACTATTGAGCATGACAGCCACTGCCTAGCCCCAGCTAGTGGCTCCCTGCTGTCACCAGCCTTGGGGCAGAGATTAGGCTTCCTTGCCTTTAATTAGCTCTGACATCAGACTCAAGGAGCACCAGAAGGAGCAGAGAGACGGAGCCAAGGCGACCGGGTCTCCTACCCTGCCTGCTGCCAGGCCGAGTGATGGATCCTCACGCTGAGTCACCCAGACTGATGGATTGGCCGCCTGGATGACATTCCGGGAAACAGGCTCTGCCAACGACCTCCTCCGCACCACAAGAGCACCAGTGACTGATAAACCCTTCTTCAGCCCTGCATTTGGAGTTGTGGGAGATGCTGGCAGGGTGATCTCCACTGTAGTTGTCAATCAAGGTGCTCATTGTCGGGGTGGAGAGGTGGCAGACTGCAGGCTAGAGGTCCAAAAGACCTGGCCTGGGAGTGTTGACAACCCCCACCCCTGGGCTATGACTGTAAGAAGAAAGTTTGGAGGGCTTCACGGAGCCAGCAATGAGGACAGAGATAAAAATCTACATATTTGAAAGCATTTTTCCTGAGCCATCAAGTCCACAAATCCCTACTGAGCACCTGCTAGGTACCAAAAACTGTTCTAGATCAACGTGGTTTCTCCCCTTATGGAATTTACCTTCTACTAAGAAAGACCATCTGTCCCTAAGCACCAAATCAAACACAGCATGCCAAGGGGGATCAGTACAGTGGAGAAAAATAAAGCTCAGTAAAAGAAAAAGAAATGTAAGAGGCACAGATGCACGATATTATTTTAAATAGGGCAACCACAAAAGGCCTCTCGACAGGGTGACACTTGAGCACAGAAGTGAATGAAGTGAAAAAATATAGCGTGTGAATGCCTGGAAAAGCATTGCATACCAAAGGAACAGCAACTGCAAAGGCCCTGAGGAAAGAAAGGTCAGATGTGTTCTACGATCAGCCAGTGTAGTGAGGAAGTAGTTAAGTGAAGGGAAGGATACTGAAGATCTAGGAAGGACCTTGCAAGCCTCTGTGCTTACAGGTGTGGGAAGACCGTGGGGCTTAACCAAGGAACAGCATTGATCTAACCTGAGTTGGACAAGAATCATCTTGGCTGATATGAAGGACAGACTGCAGGGCACAAAAGCATTAGGAATAGCAAAGGAGGTGAAAGATGTGAGTGGCCTGTGCTAAGTCAGTGGCAGGGAAGAGGGTGCGAAGTGGTCAGATTTCGGATACGTTTAAGAAAGGCTGACCTGCTGGAACATGAGACCAGGAGAAGAAGGAAGACCCTGAGATGTTGAGCCTGAAAAGCTGTAAGAATGAGGAAGTATCCATTTATGGAAATGGAAGAACAGTTTGGAGTTTGGGGGGGAAAATAGGACAAAATTAGGTTCAAAATTATTTTGAACATGTTAAGTTTGAGGTGTCCGTGAGACACAGTAAAAATGTTCAAGCCAATGGACTCACTGGATGTATGGTCGTGAAAGTTGCTGGGATGGATGTGATCGGGAAGGGACTTAGAGTAGACAGAGACTCATGTCTGAGGCCATCCAAGGTCTAGTAGCCAGGCCTTGGACAGTAAAGAGGGCTGGGTGGGGGTGGCGAGCAGAAACTGTACTCCAGGGGTTAAGCCGAGAAAACATTTCAAGAAGGGAAGTCTCAAACAGGGTGACAGATGAGAATAAAGACACAGGGATATCCATCGGACTTAGTAACACAGGGGTCATCAGTAGGCCTAGCCAAAGCCGTTCATTGGAGAGCTTAGGACAAAATCCATAAAAGAATGATTTGAGAAAGAATAAGAGATTGACAGAGATGATATGAAACTGGCCCAAGCCCTGCAGAAACAACAGCAGCATAGAAAACAACAAAACATGAAGGCAGCAATCAAAATTAAAAGATGCAATGTCAAACTTTCTGATCCCAGGTCATCAAGAACATTATTGCAGCCTTCTGGTGCCAGGCCAGATGGAATGAGCCCATTTCAGCCCTCTCTCTTGCAGAATACAACTAAATATTCTGGACAAAACGTAAAAAACAACTCCCTGAGGACAATGGAGAGAAAAGCAGGAAGATTGAAGGGGAGAATCTAAGAAGCAACCTGCACAGGGTGAGGCTCCTATTTCTTTTACTTTCCTATTTTTTCTCAAAGCTTTATGAGGCGGCAGGTTTCCAGCAGAGCTGACCAGCAGCCACACTTGAGCAAAACCCTGTTTTTCTGACCGTAAGACCAAGAAAAGGTGCTCATGCAAGTTGGGGAATGTGGGATGAATACCAAAGGCAAGGGAACTTTTCAGACAGAGGAAGACTCCCTTGATTTGGTGTATGGACTGGCTAAGGTCCTAGGCCTACCTGGGAATGGGTGGGGCAGAGCAAAGGCCTTTGAACTGAACTGGACATTGAAACCGCTACCCACTGTGGGTACAACAGAATGATGGGCAGAGCCTGACTGGGCTGACTGAGTGCAGAGAATTTTAGCAGAACACAGGGTCCTGTAACATAATGTTCAAATATTTTCATCCTGTAAGCATTAATATTTTGAGTTCTATTGCACAGCATGGTGAATATAGTTAATAATAGGGTATTTTGAAATGGTACACTGCTAAGAAAGTAAATTTCAAATGCTCTCACCACAAGAAATGTTAAGTATTTGAGGTGATGGATGTGCTAACCAGCTTGACTTAATTTTCCACATTGTATTCATGAATTATAACATCACTTTGTACCCCATAAATTTATACAACTACAAATTATCGACTTACAATAAAAATACAGGTGAATTCTGCTCAACGGCAGAATAGAGATAAATAGAGAACTTTAAGACATCAATAGAAATCTTTCAATTTGAAAAACAGAGAAAAAAATTTTTCATAAGCAGAACCTCAGAGGCCTGTGGGATAGTACAGAAACGTCTGTCACACTATTGAAGTTCTAAAATGAGAGGGAAAGATTATCTCAGAAAAAATTTGAAGACATAATGGCTAAAAACGTCCCAAATTTAGTCAAAGACATAAATCTGAAAAGCTTCAGGAAGCTGTAGATTTCCCCAAAGAGAAAAAAAAAATTTTTTAAATTTACAGACACATCATAATTCAACTGCTAAGTATCAGGTTTTTTTTTTTTTTTTCAGTCTTGAAAGGATTTAGAGAAAAATAAAACATGACCTATAAGGGAATAAAACTTTGACTACAGATTTCTCATCAGAAAAAAAATGGAAGCCAGAAGACATTCAAA